GTCAAGGAATACTCTTCTGAAGAATACAAAGAAGAAAACCATAAATTGTGCAAGCGTTTTGATATACCCATCAATGCTAAATGCATATAATCTATTGCTGTACTCCTAACGTAATCATAATGCCTACATCCCACTAAAAAAGAAGGGCCTTTAATTCCTTTTACAGGGGTTCCTGCAGCACTTGATCCATGGTATGTTTGAGGGATTCACTAGCCAATCGAGGGTTTCTGAGTGGGTTCTCTTTATCATATGGAAAGACGTGAACATGTCCACCTTTGCTAGTTTTGTGAGTTTCACCTCATATTTTCTTTGAGTCTCCTCCTGACCTTTGGGGGGAGCTCATTAATTGCCAAATACATCGGCCATGTGGCATATTTAGAGCTTTTAAACACTGACACTCCATCAGTATTCCACATAAATGATATGGGTATTTGCTAGATAGTGGCCCATCCTTATTTGATAAGTTGGTATATAGCTGGCCATCATAAATATCTTCAATACAGTTTTCACCTTTTTTTAAGCGTGTAAATCTGTGTTTCAGTGAATTCACAAAGGACTGTCGACCAAAAAGATTATGCAGCTGTGCTTCAATAGGAATTTCCAGGAAGTGGGATTTTGATTTCACAGCTGTGTCACATTTTGGTGGCAGTCGTTCTTGTGCTAAGTTAAATAGCACCTGGTGGAGTAGTAATGTAATTTGATTGGCTGAGCAAATGGCCACCTGGGCTCGTACATCGAGGCAGGAAAGACGGACTTTTGGCTAGTCACTTGCCAGGGGACCAGCGACGAGTGAGCACACTAAATATCATGTGCGAAAGGTAGTGGTTTGCAATCATAGCCATGCGATGCAGGCAGTTATCAAGTTATGAACTGAAGCCTGTGCAAGTCATGTGAAACGCATTGTGTTGTAACTGACAAGTGAGTAATTTAAATTTGATGACTTTTCAAGGGTGGTGTTCAACTGTAGGTATTAACCGGTTTGTTGACTGAAGCTTTGCAGTCAGGGAATTATTGATTATTGTAGGTCATTTCGTGTACTACGCTCGTGCAGGCATTTTTCGCTGTGAATGTTATTTTTCATTATCTCCTTCAGACAACCTATCTGAGGTGTGGTGGTCGGCGCTGGGGCACGCTGTAGACGCCGGGGTTCAGATTTCAACTTGCTGTCGGGTCTACGTTTCTCTAGACGCAATGATCCCGGGACCCGCCGTAGGCGGCAGTATTTTCATGCGAGGTCAATTTTGGATCACCAGGTCATTCCTAAACGCGTAATTAGGACTGAGACGAGAATCAATTTTGGGTGCCAGAAATCAACCAAAGACGCTTATTTGGCTATAATTTGCGCTGTCAAGGCAAAGTTCATGTTAATAAAATAAGATTGACGACGTTTTCCCAGGAGAAAAATATGAACTATTTGTTGAAAAAAG